CTGAGTCTAGGGTGTGAGGAACCTTCTTCTGCAACTGGAAAAGGAGGACGCTTGGTATGGCGGATCGATGTAAGGTTCGAGCACGGGCATTTACCAGCCGCGGCAGCGCTCACACTCAAGTTGGCAAACCTCGACTCCATACAATTCTCAACTTATCCCACACAGACCTCTCTATCAAACTCACTATCATTGAAATAGTCTCTGCAAACGTACGCGCGGAGGCATGCTTCTGCGGTCCCCATTGTGTGCACCCTCGCCACTCAGTTGTATCGGGACCACTTTGCTGCAAAGGATGCGGTACTGATTGCGTGCTCACCTGGGATGCGCCTTGTTCTTTTCCCCTGGCCTGCAATCAGCATGTCATTCTTTTTTTTTGGATACAGTCAATGCCAGCTGTCACAGTAACTGCTGCCTTGAGAATTCCCTTGTTGGTTTGCTCTGACATCATCCATGTCATTCTTATCTTGCCCGCTCACTCGGTTGCTGCGGTCTGACTTATCCTAGATTTGCCTGCAACCCATCTTTCGTTCATCATACCTGCTGTGACCCACAAGTTCCAAATGTGCTGTTCCACCTGATGGGCATACAGGAACTTCCCGTACAGCCGCACACCCATTGTGAACCTTGTGTCCGAAATACATACAAAGAAGAAGACCAGATAAGGGTCGAAGACGAAAGGTTGCAGTCATGCCATGAAACCGTACCTACTGCGCACACATAAGGTGCTGTAGCGGTACCCTTTTGGCCCGGCAGTGAGGCCGGACCTGTTTCAGGCCGTCGGCCTGACCCCGGTCCGGTACTGGGTTGGGGGATTCATTCAGTTGGTTCATTCATTCCTCGTTTGTTCATTCGTTCATTCAGTCGGGCTGGACCTTCACTCAGCTGCTGCTTCTCTCTCTCTCTCTCTCTCTCTCTCTCTCTCTCTCTCTCTCTCTCTCTCTCTCTCTCTCTCTCTCTCTCTCTCTCTCTCTCTCCATGTCCGCACGTGCACCACAGGTGTGCTGTACTGTGCACACATTTTTGGTCTGCCTTTCAGCGCAGAACGCTATGACATCCGGTATGCTGTATAGTGTGGAAGGGGGCTGTGCGCTATACGGGCTGTATGAGACTGTGCGGATTTGAGTAGCATACAGCGCGGCATACAGAAGGGGCTTCCAAGAAAGTTCAGAACGTGCCTGCCATCTGCAACGACACTGAATCTTCGAACTTCAGAGTCCGAAGGAGTGCACATGAGATTTCAGAGAAAAGTTTGTCGAAAAGGAAATGAGGGACGCTATCTCCTAGTTCCAAGCCTGTTATTTCTTAGCGTAACTCTGTACCTGAGATGCTGGACCTGATTTCCAGCAGGTGCTGCTTCCCAGCAATAGACTGGAGCGTCCGGGCCCGGGTTGTTAGCGAAGGTTGCTCGAATCACCTTCTCTAGCAGCTGAGGCCCAGTCTTAAAAAAAAAAGAGAAGAGGGAAAGCTGTAGTCTTCTTGCAGATGAAAAGCCAAACGAGGCAAGCTCAGACGAGGCTGAAAAGGGGAGTGGGGGTAAGGACAGAGGCTAAGGCGGGCTCGAGTTAAGGAGGGGGGGATAGAAAATTGGGCAGGCAAAACCCTTATAAATAGGGAGATATGAGTCAATTTGTAAACGGGGAAAAGGGACGCAGGACCCGTTTTCCACCAGGTGCAGCTCCCCCACTAATAAGAATGGAGCATCCTCAGGGGCAGGGCCTACCACTGTGCAGTGCTCATATCACACACGCTAACAGGACCCCCTTGCAGAGGTCTTTGCAAAAACAAAAAAGAAAAAAAAGAAAAAAAGATGGGTAGCTGCATCATCCTGCCGATTGTAGTGGGCAAGGAAGTGGCAGCCAGCACTTAGTCTGAGCTGCACTGCCCCGCCAGTTTGAACAGTGGACACCATTTGGAAGGGACGGACTGGTTCTCAAAATTTGAAACCGGATACGAATCTTAGGCAGGAGGGCGAGGAGCGGTACCACACCCCAGTGCGCCTTTTTTTCTTTGAAGAACCCCCTTGGCCTGCACGCCCACATCGCATACGTGTGCAATGGGCCCGTCCACTCCCCCCCCCCCCCCCCTTGAAGACGTGTCATTCATTCAAAACCATTCACGAAGCGCACCCTCGGCTTTCCAGAGACATTCAGTTATTACTCGTGACACGTAAATTGTTTCACTCCCGGATAGAACCTCACCATCACAAACGAACACTTTTTTTTCTGAAGTGGAAGCCGGCACTTTGTGTGAGCTGCACTGTCCGGCCTTTTTGGACACCATATGGGGAGGGCCCTAACGGGTTCTGAAAATTTGAAACCAGATACGCATGTTAGGCGGGATGAGGAGTGCTGCCACACCCCACAGTGGCTTCTTTTATCTGAAGACCCCCCCCTAAGGCCTGTACGCCCAGATGGCATACATGCCTAATGGGTGAAACACACTTTCCCCGTAGGCCTGTAATCAGCCATAAGTATGCGTGAAACACGCTTTCCGGGGCGTTACTGTTTACTTCTGTACGCGAGAGGACAGCCATTAATGATCTAAGAGTACGGAAGTTTGGGACTAAACAAATCACCCTAAATATTGAACGGCATGCTTTTGTGAATTTTGTTTTTGTATCATAGGGTATACTCACACTGAGACTTTTGTGGATGCTGACCGTAATTAAGGCCAGATTCAATCTGAAAACTTCTTACCACCACTGGATCTGCCACATGAGCAATTTCTCGCCAGGAAAAAAAAAAAAAAAAAGGAGGCCGCAAAGCAGATTCGTTGAGAGTTGAAAGGGTGACCAGCTACTGTCTTCCCCCCTGAACATAAAGCACCCACTTCGAGTCGTCGACACCACTTAGGGAGAGGTGATATGAGCAGCCTCCCATAAAGCACCCTGATAATACATGCCTCTGCAATCAGACTCGTTCTCAAACACACTTTTCATACATGTAAACAGCAACGCAGCATACTGGCGACATGCGCCCACTCAAAACTCGGAGATATGGCTTTCAGATAGGAGTTCACTCTCAATTGGCTATGGCGACTTCAGCGCCAAAACATCTCACTGTTCACATACACTGGATCACCCTGGATATCCCACACGCATCACTCTAACACTCGAACACACACACACACTCACTACTACCTATAGCTATGGCAGCTATCGCTGCATCTAACCTATCGCTATACTAACTCCCTCTCTCTTGCCCACTGCATCCTCTGGGCTCATCTGCAGACCTCCTTGCACAAGTCGCTGTGGCAGCGCTTCCGCATGGCTCACGCAGGAATGAATGAACAGCTGGGCGCTGCCTCTTGATTTATACTTCAGAGACTCGTTGGTCTGCCCTTTGCCATCGGCCCTTGGTGCTCACAGTCCCCCCTGTGGTACTTGCTGGACCGGACTGGGACTGACTGGACCTTCCGCT